ACCTCTGCCTCCAAAAACGGGGCTGGGGCAGTGCTTCTGTGGCTTACTGTTAGCATTTTGATTCACAGTTGACTGGCTCTTTGGGGCTTATTGCACTATTTCAAGAAGGTGGGTAAAAGGATCCAACTTCATTTCAACAAGTACTGGGTGCCAGGTACCACGCAAGGTCAGTCCACACGATGTGTGCACAGGATGTCCTGTGGCCACATGGCTTCTATCCAGGGCGAGAGAGAGAGGAAAGGGCTCCACGCGGTGGATTTTCTATCGTTTTGTGGCCTTTCTCGGCATCTGCTCTTGGCCTTTCTCAGCAATAGGAGCCTGACCCTTGAACATCCAGCCTAGTACTGGTATTCGTGGTACCAGGAGGAGCTGAACCAATCACTCCCAAAGCAGCTCTCATTACTTCATATGCTGCCAGTATTTCTTTTTCAGTTAGAGTATAGTTGAAGAATAAGATCTATTCTCCATCCTGGACAATTTATCCAACAGTTCTTTAAATGATTTTTTGGATTCCATAGCCATTTTTTCCACAGCCACAACACAGGCTTGTAGGGGATGAGAGAGAGTGTCTTCAGACTGTCACACTTTGTTAGTCACAGCATTCACAGTTGGTGTCTTGCCATCTCCTCAGCAGATCATTGTTGACAATGGGTAAGTATATATCAGCAGTGCACTCTGCACAAACTTCCACAGCACAGGTCGCTGGCCTGGCATTTCATCAGGGTCTACAATTGTTCGCTAAGCACAGTAAATCACCTCTTGTGCAGCCAATTCTCACGGGTACTTAGCACCTTTTTCCATAGTGGTCCATTTGCTCAGGCGGCATTCAGTATCATTCTTAAAAGGATACCTGCTCTTTACAGCTGAAAAGAGTCACCTCCAGAGGCGGAGATTGTTTTTCTTTCTTGCAAGCACCTTGTCAATGCCTCAATCTCTGGCCAGGGATTCCAACTGTCTGACTTCTCTACCATCCCCATCTATGGTATTGGTCTCATTATCCCAGCACTGGAGCAGTCAGGTGGTAAGTGCCTTACCTTCATGATGGCCTTTCTCACATATCACAGCTCCTTCAGAGATAACCACTGGACAGTTACCTTTGGTTCCAACTCCTCCCCGTACGATGGCCTTGCTTGAGAAGGATTCTCTTCCAGATCACCCTTTATTATCCCCAGCTGTGGTGTAGCTGTGGTGCTTGTCATCAAAAGTTTCAGTAACAGCAGTGCTCACTGTCAGAGTTGGGGTGCTGGAGAGCTTGTTATCAGCACTGGAGTAGTGGCACTGCTTGTTATCAGCACTGGAGTAGTGGCACTGCTTGTTATCAGCACTGGAGTAGTGGCACTGCTTGTTGTCAGCACTGGCATAGCAGCAGTACCCGTCGTGGGGGCTCACCCGGCCTGAGTAGCTGCAGTGCCTCTGGCTGAAATAACACACCACCTATGCCTGGCACCAATATTTAATCTCACACTACCCATTCAGGAAAATCAATAATCATTTCAGTGATACAGACATGACGTTAAGATAGCAATAACCACATTCAAAATCCTTGCATTCTAGTGGAGTCGGCTTAGCGTGAAAGGGAGAACTGTTGTTGCCAAAAGCAGCAACTGCAAAGAAATAACTCTAAACCAAGGTCAAGCCTAAAGTGTCATGAGCCACGCTGCCCGGCCAGGGGCGCCCGAGGCTTTCGGTTTGTGCCCGGAGCTGGTAAGCTCCCGGTAAACAAGTAAACAAGAACACAAAGCACACGGCAGGTGAGGCAGCATTACGACACTTAACTCTGCAACAAACTCTAAAAAGACACAACATAAGATTGTGCTCATTAACGACGTGATGTGAGCGGTCTGTTTTAATTTCCAATGCTTTGAGACTCTCGGAGGAAAACGTCTGGTGCTTTCTCCACTGAGTAGGCCAGAATTTTAACTATTCGGGAAACCTGAGTGAGCCCCATGTTGGACACCACTAAATCTGTCAAGGGTTAGGGCTAGGCTGGCCATTAAATGAGTGGCAGATGCTCTCTGTTAACCCCTCTCTCTTCCCAAAGGGGAAGGGAAAAAAGAGTAAGGGAGACAGAAACTTACGGATTGGAAGAAAAAAAAAAAGGTTTAATGAAATAATAATAATAATAATAAAATAATGAAGTCTACACAAATATTGAAACTTCCCTGATGGCAATCACCATGGATGCTGCAGAGCATGCAGGCACTGAGAAGTCCCAGACTGGACTCGGCAGCAGACAGGAACCAGACTCAAGAGGCTGGATTCAGGAACTGGATTCAGGAACTCACAGAGAGGGACTGAGGGCAGAAGAAGAGAGAGAGTCCTTCTCAGATGTCAGCCACTGAACAAAAAGGCTTTATCCTTGTGATCCCTCAGTTTTATACTGAATATGACATATATGAAGTGCAATACTTGGTTGGGTCAGGTTTGTGTCACCTGTCCTGTCTGCTGCTCCCTGCAGGTGCAACCTTATATGTACTTAGAACCTATTTAGTTTTTCAGCATCTCAACATGGAGCACAAGATTCAGCAATGACCTTGTTTACCGTTCGAGCAAGTGTAAGGAAGAACCTTTCTGCATACCAATCCATAGTAGTAACTATAAACATCAAGCACTATCTCTCCTAGAAGCAGACACTGTCTGCAGAAATATGCCGCTAACTTCAAAAGGAGACTTCGCTGAAAAGTAAAATCACTGAAGAATTGCTTCTGTTCTGGCTCAGACCAGGATACTGGCTTTTAAGAATGAATGGTCCCAATTTTCAGGAAGCTTGCTACTGTAAAACCTTGCATATCAGCAGTACAGAGGTATTTTAGCCTTAGTTTTCTCATTTAATTCTGAAAGCCAGAGACGTTTTTCCTCTGATATGGCATTGTGATTTAGATAGCATCTCAGCTTAATAGAGCTGATGTGTTTGTAGTATTGTGTAAAACTGATATACACAATTTAGAAAGGGAGAAAACTGCACTATGCAGTTATGGTGGTTATTTCTTAGTCTCTTCTCTATTCCTATATGTTTCTATGAACCTTCTTCCTTTGCTTGTTTTCCTGTAGCTAGTATTGGAAGTCTTCAGAACAGGTGTAATATTTGCTTATCTGTGAACACAGCTGTATAAAAGAATTTCTCTCTTTCTTGTTCCATAGGTGAGCTTTAATCCTCAAGACAATGCACAGGTTTGTCTCACTGGAAATGGCTTTTTTAAACTTTTTAAGTACACTGAAGGAGCTTTGAAGCAGATTAATTTACAAAAGGGAGCGCCACAAAACTACTTGTGTCACGCCTGGCTCTCTGAGGAGGAAGTTATATGTGGCACTGACACAGGCAAGCTTATCGTGTTTAAAAGTGGAGAGCTGCACTGGGAGACAAGTGTGGAGTACAAAAAAACACCCAGCGAACTAGATGTAACAGCAGAGGAATATGAGAGGTAAATCTTTTAAATACTAACAGTTCTGTGCTTGTGCATGCAGATTAGTTGCAGGCCATTCACTGAGTTTCTTCTTGTCCAGTTTCTGAATGGGTTATACTATGCTGATTGCTGCTGATAAAAATTCTTTGTTCTGCCTTCTGTATTATTAAGTCTTTATGCATTTTCTCTTTGCAGTTCTTCTCCTGTCTCTTGTGAACCGGCCTCTGATAATAATGGTTCACAACAGGATTTTTTGCCTCAAATAACTGCAATCGCGGCTTATTCCAGAGGTTTTGCATGTTCATCTAGCCCAGGAGTTGTAGTTTTGTTTGAGAAGACCAAGGAAAAGGAACTCTACAAGGAGAGTCAAGAAATCTGGGTAGGGAGGAAAAAAGCTTTTCCAAGCAGTTACGCAGCAAGGGCCTGTTCAGAGGGGTGGGGGTGCTTCCAAATCAGTTCTTAATGATAATTTTAAGCACATCTCTAATTTACATTGTAAACGTTAGCTAACTGTCCTGGTGATGTTGAAAGGAAGGGAGTTGTCAGATGTCACGCTGAAAGTCAGTAACAGATGTCCTTCTGCAAGATAGCTCTGCATATTCTCATGTGTAAAATGTGCTTCAAAGCTGCTAAACTTCAGGAGACCTTCAAGAAACTTTTCTGTATGGAGACTTTTGTAGTTAAGAAGTATTCTACGTCAGGTCTGAAGAACTAGACTGCGTGATTTTTTCCAAGGCAAAGCTTTTCTCCTGTCAAATATTTATTATGTCATAAGACTTGTGCACTCTTAAGTAACTGGCAAGACTTCTAATTGTTCTATAGCAAGCTCTATGCATTGTCTTATGCAGTCTCTGGATAAGAACACTGACCACCTAGTCAAGCCTTCACACTCTGGGCCTAAAAGGTCAGATCTTCCCTAAGCACAGGACCCTGTATCAATTTGAACAACACACTGCAAAGAACTGTGATTCTGAGATCACAATTTTCAGGCAGTTTTCATTCTGGCACTTTCTAGTGTTTTTCTCGATGTTCTGCTATAATTTTTATTTTTGTTTAACGCAGTACTTAAGAATACTGCTGAAATGCCTTCTGATACTTTTTTTCAGCCATAATGCTATAGATACACTTGTCTTCTATTCCTTGTCTTGCAGTAGGTATGGCCTATTAAATATCCAAGTTGTCTTACTGATGTCATGTATATGCTTATTAGAGTAGCATTGCAGCAAAAATTTGTGTATATGCATATCTACTACTGAAATACGGAGACCTGGAATATCCCATGGGATGCATTTCTTGTGCAGCTTCCTCGGGACCTGTTCAGCAGCGAGCCAATAAAGTCTGTCAGACAGGACATTATAAGTATATGCTTCAGCCCTTCTGAGGAAATAATGGTTGTTCAAACAAATAAAAATCAGCTTTACATGTTTACTATGCTCACTGCCAATCTTACAAAGGTGAGTGCAATCTTATCACATTCCATATTCACATCATATCCAGTGGGGGGTGTATTGTAATGGCATAGGGTATTCAGTCTCACTTTCTATGATGCATTCTCCTAAATTCCATCAAATAGCATCTGAACTGTTAAAGCTCCTAATATGAAGCACTCTGAATGCTTTTCTGAGAGCTGTGTTTCAGCAGCTGCTTGCTCAAGCATCCCGCTGTATGAATACCTGATGTTGGCCAGCATGAATTGTAGAGGACGCTGTTAAGATCGTTTAAGGGTGCATGTCACTGTTGGACCACCTAAGTATGGGTTTAATGGAGAGGTTTTTGAAATTAACTGTAGTAGTTTATGCTCCTCTGTAATATGCATAATCTTTAATGAAATGATAAAGCTGGAATAGCCATAGGAATCTCACGTTACTCTAAAAGAATTGTTGTCAAAGTCCTAGTTAAAAGCTATACCACTTTGTGAAGGACAAACATAGTG